GGTTTCCTACGGAAAGACGTTCCTGGAACCGGCCGAGTTTGAGCTTGAAGCGCGCTGTCCAAGATCAGATTGGAGAGGAAGTTATATTCCTCCAACGGTGGAAGCCCTTCTACCGACGTTAGGGCATCTTCTATCACATTCTTGAACTTTGTCCAATCGATATTACGGGTAAGATCGTACGCGACGTTAACGGGTTCCGACGGATTGAACCCACTGGCAACTGAAACTTTGATCGGCAAGTGATCACTACCGTGGGGATCTTGGATCACATTCCACGTGCAATCCAACGATAATGAGTTAGAGCAAAGTGTGAGGTCTAATCTGCTTCCATTCGAGGATGGGCCAGCCAAACGTGTTACTTCTCCATTGTTAAGAATTGTCATATTAAAGCTGTCACAGAGGTCATTTATCAAAGTAGAACGGTTGTCATCATACAGTTCCCCCCAGCCTGTACCGTGGGAATTAAAATCTCCCATAATCAACCGTGGAGCAGGAAGTACCGAACAGATATCTGAAAGTTGTTTTCGATTAACAACGGCTCTAGGAGGAATATAAACAGAAGCAATACAAAGGCTCTTACCTTTAATAATAGCCTGACATGCGACAACTTCAATACCTGTAAATTGTGGAAGATTCACTCTATAGAAAGAATGGCACTTTTTGATCCCCAAAAGTACCCCTCCTCCACGCGAATCCTCACGATCCAGTCGAATAATGTTAAAATCATAAAAAGGAAGATCTATATCTGAAGAGAGCCAAGTTTCACAAAGAGCAAATGCATCACAATCATTATTGTGAACTAAAAACTTAAAAGAGTCTAATTTAGGAATAAGACTTCGCCAATTCCAATGTAGAATAGTGATCAAATCTGTGACTGTGCAGGCGCCATCCTCGTGCTTCTCCCCGCATTTGGAACAGCGTGCCTTGCTGCCACAGTGAGAGGCCGTATGTCCCAACTGTTTGCAGTTTTGGCAGTTCATGACCCGAGGAACAAACAAACGCACAGGTAGCCGAAGTTTTCCCAACTCGATGTAGTGAGGAAGGGCTGAAACGAGTCTGTGGGGGTAAAGCTCTTTTTACCCTCGCTGAAAGATACTGAGTTCAGCTTCTGGACTTCCAGTATCTCAACCGTGGGAAGCAAGGGGTTCTTGAAACGGCCAACCGCTTGCTTCGCCAAGATCTCGGGGGTCAGACTCGCTTCGGTGACCACACCTTCGATCTCCACATTACGAGCTGGGATGTACACTCTATACTCGAGTGTAAAGAGCTGGGAGGCAGCAATCTCGTTAGCTTGTTTCAGGTTAGAGACGACAACGCGAAGTTTATTGTACCTCACCTTCGAGATTTCGGTCACGGCCGAGAACCGCTTCGTCAGATCATTAGTAATTTGCATTACATTCAAAGGTTTCTTTTTGGGCTGAAAGTAAACAACCCATGGGCCAGTCGAGTCTTCTGGGTAGGCTCGCGATCGGGGGCTTATCTGTCCCTGTCCATTACCAGACTGAGATGACGAAGCAGGGATGGCATCATCTGATTTCTGGGATGACAGACGTTTTCGACCCTTCTTGCTATCGCGTGGCAAAGTGGTGTCATCTTCCGACAAAACGTCCATTTCGTCTTCCGACAAAATGTCCATTTTGCCGTACTAGTGGGAGCGAAAAACGCTCTACCACTGCAACGATAATCAAAATTACTCGGACCCAATACACGAAGAAAAAAAATACTAACACAGAAACACAAACTTAAAATTTAACAGATGGGAGAAAGAAAGAAACAAGAAACAAAAACTTATCTGATAATCTTATACTACTATCACCGAGCGTTTACACAGCAGCAGCGGAGCGATGCGCAGCTTGGATGATCTTCGATCCGCGTGTGCGGGCGGTCTTCGTTGGTGTGTGCTTGTATGAAGCTCGGCACTCAGCTGAACACACGATGATGGATGAGCGGCTTGAATGTGGAGGCAGATGCTGACACTCGATGACGATGATCCGTGTGCACAGGTATGCGTGACCACGCACCGATGGTGCGCAAAATGATTGGCGAATTGCCAATCGCAAAACCAATTTTCGATGATGCCGAAAACACACTTTCTTCTCAGAAAAAAACTCACTTTTTGATAAATTTATCGTGAATTATGCCAGGAATCACTAAGCGAGAAAAACTGATTATTTACGTCAGATAATAGCGAGAAAACTTCCAAATTAACGGAGCGCGAAACAAGCCGACCGTACTTCTTGCTAGGACGCAGTGGTGTACGATTAACTTATGAAAATGGCTTATTTTCTACAAAAAAATTGATTTTGATGAAAGTAAATTTGAAATATCTCGAAAACGGTTATATTTAGGAAGTTTATCGATATGAGCACTATCGTTTGAAATGATTTTTATAATCATATAGGGGAAAAGTTTTCTTCGGCAATACCTTAACCTATTATCGTCAGGGGGGTAAACAAAGTCCTAGAGCACTCAAATTTGGCCAATAGTTGCTCTGAAACACAATGTATCCACATGCCAAAATTGAGCTCCCAAGGACGTTGTTTACCCCCTGACGATGATAGGTAAAGGTATTGCCGAAGCCAACTTTTCCCCTACTAACATCAAACTGAACATTTTGCCGTAAATAATGAAATTTTCAAAAATACCTCAAAAGTTGCTCTTAGAAAAACTGTTTTTATTGAAAGTTTGTCCATCCTAGAGTTATTTTCAAAACTTCTGTTTTTATAAAAAATATATAAAAAAATCAAAAATACGTTTTTTTTTTTGTTATTTGAATTTTGAGGTTTATTGTTATTTTTTTTTGTAAAAAAACGAATAAAAAATTCCGTGTATATTTTTTATAAAGCCTTATTAGTTTTTAATTGTATCCTACAACTCCTTCTTAGTATTTTTTTTTTCTACAACCAACTGTTTTCGAACTACATTTTTTTAAAGTATGTGTGCAAAAACACATAGGCCCTTTTCAAAAATTACCCTTGAGTCAAAAGGATCTCCTCTCCTGCTGAAAATACTTGGTCTATCATACTGAAAATATGGGCAAAGTATCATCCAAATCGAAGATGGTCGAGCACGATTTCAGGTTTTTTCAGCTCATACTGGATGGAATCCCTCTACTGTGAAAATTCAAATAAAACGTTTGGTTTCCAATAAGTAGGTGCTTAACTAGAACAACATTAATTGAAAATTAGGGGGACTCAGTTATTGAATTTCAAAGTCAGAACGAAAGCTCGTATACAGGTTCTCCGCCTGTTCAATGTTTTGATAGTAAGCATAATAGTTAAGGCACACCAGGGCAAGTTGAAACGGTACGTGTATCTCTTAGCAGAAGTGAATATTGACTGTAATTATTTTTGAATGGCATTGTGTACAACCGAAAACTACTATATTAGAAATAATCGCAGTGATTATTCACTTCCGGTAAAAAATACATCTACCGGTTCAACAACACGCGCTTCTTTCTCTAAGACGCTAGGTTAACATCCGACGTCCCTCCTTCTTTACATGTACTGCACAAAAAATACTTTCTACGCCTCGCCCCTGACAGATTTTCCCGCCGTTTTGTTTTATGAATAGGGCGGAGCAGAAAGTATCTTTTGTGTAGAATATGTAAAAAAGGATGGACTTCGGATGTTAATCTAATTGCAATTAGAGGTACCAGATTTGTTTTACACCAACAGAATAACATCAACATATCGTGAGCGATTTTTTTCTCAAAATTGAAGCTTTCTGGGCAGTGGTATACCATAGTATACTATAGTAAGCGGGTAAAAAACTAACGGAATTAAAGTTTCTTTTTTAACTTAATTTTAATTTGCTTAACAATTATTTCACAGAAAAAAGTAATCGTCAAAGTCCATATTGTTGTTAACTACATAGACAGTTTTTATGGATTCTTGGCCCTCTCCATCCCCCTGCGTAGACAATTGTCCATACATTTTTTAATTTGTATGGGCTGGGAATAATTGCCCCTCCCCTTCAAACTTTCTACGTAGTTAATGAACAGCCCCGTAGTCGAACGAGACCCAAGTCTCCTTCCACCCATCGCTGGTTGACAAAGATGATCACGCCGTGATCCACCTTTAACTGCTGACTTGCTCCTGCTTACTGCAGGACCCAGTGCCACGCCGTCCGAAGCGACAATGAGCAAAGGCACACCAGCAACGCTGTTGTATATCTTCTCAGGTTCAAGCAGAATGATGTGCAACCAAGTGATACTCGATTATGACGACTGGGTTTGGAAAAAAACGTTAATTTCATGAAAACAGTAATAAAATTATCATTTGTACATTTTTCAAAAAACAAATTTATGAAAAATTGCAAAAAAAAAATATTTTAGCAGATTTCCAATGTAATATCCTATTGATTGGAGTACTTGGATTTAAATTTCATCTATAAATGACCAAATTCCAAGCATTCAAAACCTAACACTATTTCACCACACATATTTTTTGATGGCACCCCAGTATAGTCGACAAAGAAGTAGTTCTACGTCAAAAGTAATTTCCTTCAATAAAATCAAGAATCAATTTTATTCTCTTCAACACACGGAGACGGAGAATAATAAGGTTCAGTAATAAAAGAAACTTAGTATCTAAATATAAATTCTGTAGGTCGTGGAACAGAGTCGATAGGTACAGCAAATCACCCATCTCTCCATCTTTATTTTCCCACTTTTTAACTATTATTACTGTTACTTTGGCTATCCCCTATATTCAATATCTTTCCTCACTATCCGGCATTCCAAAGCAGTATTCATTTAACATATGTGGTTATTATTTTGTGTAGTGGTGCAGGTATTTTTCACTGGGGACCTGGACCCTCTTCTGTACTTGACAACGAAAACGAATAACTTCTAGGCAGATAATATAATGTTATAAAATTAAAATTAGAATATCTGGATCCAAACTTCGCAAGAATTTTTTCTAATCCGAACATAAATATAATCTCATGTTATTCATATCGTATCCTAATCCTTTAATTCACAAATCTATCCATTTTAGGGCATATGGAGAATTCCTTCTTCGGATATTGATAGGCCTGGTAGTTTTTCGTCGCATTTATCCAAATGCGTCACAATTCTCATAGAGACATTAAAACAAAAAATGGACCACGAAACGCTCCTTGAACTAGCGATTCAACTCTATCGGAGACCAGATACCGACAAGTAAGCTTATGATTTTTTGGCTTTTATACCTCGATACATTCGTTATATTTTCAGAGAATACTTAAATGACTGCGATCGAAACGAATTATCGCAACAAGCGGTATTAACTTGCATTCATGTTTATCAAACCATCCTAAAGCAGTTGGAAGAAGACAAGAAAGATGCAGAAATCTTGGCTCTTCTTGTAGATATTTTCAAAGCACATAGGAAATGTGTCAAAAACATGCTGCACAAGGAATTGCTTTTCACCGAGGTTATGAAACAGGCGTATAAGATATACATACAACACAAAGCCAAGCTTCCAGAATCTGCAAATATTATTGACCTAGCTATAAAATTATGTACGTACGAGATTAATTACCGTAAATCTATTGAAAAAATGTCAGGAAAACAAACAGACAAGACAAGCAAAATTATAAACACGAGTACGGATATGCCATCAACAATGATAACTCCGATGCAGCCAATCTCCGCGGTAAGTGAATACTAAATTCTCGGCGAGCTTTGCCAAAATCCCACGTTCACACGCATTTCATTGGTACATAGTAATTAATAAACGGATTCTTCAAACGATGTTTTTAAAAAGAAGGTACAATTGAGACTGAGCTTTATTAATCGATCCAAATTAATTGAAACCTACCAAGTGGCCCTAAAAGTCCTAACGTTGCATTTCTCTACCCAGGTAGCGAGGGTCATAGTCCGTGTCGTTGTCCTATGTCGTTGTTGTTGCCAAGTGCTGCGTCTGCAAGTCCGAGGTTCGCTCGAGGCTGGTGGTTGTCGTTGTCAAGTGCTGCGTCTGCAAGTCCGAGGTTCACTCGAGGCTAGTTGCTGTTGTTGTCAGGTGTCCACGATGGTTCGATGGTGCCGATGTTGAATATGCTTAAGCCGGCAATTTGTTTATGATGCTGATGTTTGTGTTGTTGGAAAATGTAGGCTACCGCTGTTAACTGCTTCCCCCTCAAGATTGGATCGTCCCGATACAATTTCGTTAAGACCTGTAGTTTCTGAGTTGACGATGGTCGGTCTCTGTGTGTTGATACTTGAGTTGGTTTCGTTGGGTAATGCTTTCTTCTTGCACCAGGTGTAGACTGCAATGCAAAAACCTATAATGATACAAGAAGATGATAGCCCCAAACTTGTTGATGTTTGGATATAGTTTCTATTCCGGTCGATCTGTAGTTGTTCCCGGTTCTGGATATGCATTTCTCTAATTTCGTGTAGGCTTATAGTTGACTCGAAGCCATTTTGATCAATTTTTACGCCATCCAAAGGTATAATGGTTTGTAGAGTTTTCGTGGAAATGTGATGATGTTGAAGCTTTTACCATCCAGCGAAATTGTGCAGTTCGAGAAGAAAATTACGAATGTTCCCGAAAGATTTCTACTGCTGTGCAAGCAGTCAGCTGTTAGTGTGACTGATGCGTTCTTTACGACGACGTGGTTGTCTGTCAGTCGATTTATGTTGGTTATGTTGAGGTAATTAGTGAAGATGCATTTTCCAGGGATTCCTCTTAAAATTCTTGAGAAACATTGGTCTTCTGAAGCATCTTGTAGTTTGTTTTCATCGCAAAGGGTGTTTCCTCCGATGTACTGGCAGCTGTCTTTGAGAAAGTATGTGAAGTTCTCGTTAATCGCTGCTTGGTGCCATGGTAGCCTGATGATTTTACCATCAACTGGAAGCGGTTCCAGGAGTAAACTGTTAAATGAATGAGGTGAAATCTGTGGAACACCTATGATGAAGTAGAGTGTGCGTCCCTTGAAGAAAGCTCGGATGTCCAAATAATCGTTGGCCTGGTCTGGGTTGAGAATTTCGATATTTTCCTCTTCTAATCTTTCTATTATAAATTTTAATTCTTCTGACTCTAAAAAGTTCTTCGATATAACGTTAATTTTAGCAAGTTGAATTACTTCGAAAATTGAATTAAGATGATCTTCTATGAGATCGATGTGATATGAAATTTTGAATATTTGTCGAATGGTTGTAAAATTTTGGTTTACGTACTTATTTATGATTGAAGATTGTCTTGCTACTATAATTTGTTGTTTGATTATTTTTTGCTGATTGTTTACTGAGTCTATAATATTGTTGATACGTTTTTCTAGATGTTTATTGATAGTAACTTGGATATTATTTTGTTTTACAAGTTCTTGATTGCCTGATCTTAAACTGTTTATGTCATTGTTGATTCGGTTTAGATCGTTCTCATCTAGATTTCCTGTTATTACTTTGATAGCAGATCCTAGCAAGTTGAATGCTCCTCTTTTTTGTCTAATCTTTTCAATAGGTAATAGTTTTCGGTGAGAATTTTTTACGTTTTCAAGTTTTGTTCGTAACATAGATGTGAGGTCAGTGAGGTCCTTGAAAATGTTGAGCCCGTTAGAGCAATTTCGATATTATCTAATAACGGTTCGTATTTGTCGAGGTCTATAGAGTGGTAAATCCGATGTCGTCCTGTCTTGATTAACGTGTTTCCAGTTTGTATTGTCAACAGTCCAGGGTTTCTCGTCAGGTCATGAATTTGAATAGTTTGTGATGCGGTCATCACCAAAATGAGTGTTGTCAATGTCCAAAGTTGAATCCACATTCTGTAAATTTGAGAGAAAATTTTTGTATGGATTCATTTTCTTCTAATATTTTCCTTCTGGATCTCCCGGCCAGTGTGGTCTAGGAATGTTCTTCCCATATCCTGGACTACTGTGACGGGCTGATATTTTTCTTTTCCTTTGTTCCTGACACCTTGAACTTTATTGTACACGGTGCCATCTACTTCTATTAACGGTTGGTCCTCTCTCTTTTTGTTATGGTATCCCAAATTTTTGGTTTTTGTTTTGTTTGATTGTGTTATAATTTCATCATAGAATTTATTTCTATTTTCTATGATCTTATTCATATCTAGAGGCCTTTCATCTCCATCGCGTAGCCCGTAAAAAATTTCCCTCGGTTTGACTTTAGTAGCGGAATGCACTGTATTGTTGTACAGAGTGCATGCGATTCTAAAAATCTCCTTGTCGTTTAAATCGGGATAGTCAGGCTTAGTGCAACGAAAAATTTCACCTAGAGTTGAGTGAAATCTTTCGACTGTACCATTACTTGAGCTGTGGTTAGGTGAAATGGATCTGGATATTCAGATTCTCTAAAAGCGATCTGATTTCTATTGATTTTATTGAAGGCTCATTATCTGATACTATTAAATTTGGGGTACCATATATAGAAAAGTATTTCGTCAAGCCCTTCCTTACATCGTTGATATTCCTAGATTTGATAGGGATTATTGTAGCGAATTTCGAAAATTTATCTAGGAAAGAGAGAAATATATTAGGTTTTTTGATAAAAATATCTAAATGTACTATTTCTAAAGGCTTTTTAGGGTCAGGAGTGTGCCCAAATTTTATTTTGTATGGGTGTCGTTCATACTTGTTTTTGTTGCAGATTCGACAGAGCCTTACTAACTGCCGTATTTCATTGCTGGGAAAAAATATCGATTTGAGATTTGTCGATTATTTTCCCATATGCCTCGATGACCATTGGAATGTGTCTGTTCCATCACCAAATTTTGGTCTTCGAGCGTTTTCAAGTCAGTCAGCAATTTTTGTGTAATATATTATATTTTGAATGGTTTTCCTCTACTAAAATAGTAAACAATTTGCATAGTAGGGATCAATGATTCGGGGCACAAAACGCAGTTTGTCCTCTTTGGGTCCATGAATTGTTTAAATATTCTTATAATGTAAGGGACACCAAAAACCATCTTGGTGATTGTACGCCTAAAAATACGAGGGAATACTTCTTCATAAGTTTCTTCCTCGTTTGGTCCGATTTTTAAAATAATCTGGTTACTAAAGACATTCAATGGCGATTCTGTGCAGGGAATAAAGACAGAATCGTCAGTATCTGCAGAATGAGCTGAAGCTCCGTCTGAAGAAGATTCGGTCTCAGACATGGAAGAGGAGTTTTCTTCTACGTCATTAACGTTTATTTCCTCTCGTAACCTGGAAAGGCTGTCGGCCACAACATTCTGCTTTCCGGGTCTGTATTTTATATCGAAGTCAAATTCTTCTAAATAGAGGCGCCAATGGGTAAGCCTACTATTTGTGTCTTTGAGATTAAGTCCATAAGATAAAGGCTTATGATCCATGTAGAGCGTAAATTTTCGCCCATAGAGATAGGGTCTGAAGTATCTACAAGCCCACACAATGGCCAGCAATTCTTTCTCGGTAGCGGAATATTTTTCTTCCGACTTATTGAGTGTTCTCGAGGCAAAGGCAATTGGTTTATCGCTACCAATTAGGCCTTGGGATAGAACAGTTGTCAATATGAAAGGTCGCTCGAAATCAGGGTATTGAAGGATATCACTAGACGTAAGGATGTTTCTGCATCGCTCGAACGTGTCTACAAAATCCTTAGTGTGAGTGATTTTTTCTCCTTTTTGTAACGCCTGAGTTAATGGTTTTGTTATTTGCGCGAAGTCCCGAATGAACTTGCGATAATAGCCCAATATTCCAATATTTTTGGTATTGGCCATTTTCTGATGATTTCAATTTTATCTTGATTCGGTTTTACTCCGTCACAAGTTACAATGTGTCCTAGAAAAGCTACTTCCTTATGAAGGAATTCGCTTTTATCTAACTGGATCTTCATGTTGAACTTCCTCAGGGTGTTAAAATTTTTCCTAAGATTGTCAAGGTGTTCTTTCAAACTTGTGGAGAACACGATGATGTCATCCATGTATACGAGACATCTGACGCCAATGTGTTCTCTCAGTACATTGTCCATGACGCGTTGAAACGTCGATGGTGCGTTTTTGAGGCCAAAAGGCATTCTCAAAAACTCATAGTGTCCGTTTTCCACACTAAAAGCAGTTTTTTCTATGTCTCTTTTATCTACTTCTACTTGGTGGAAGCCAGAAGCAAGATCAAGGGTGGTAAAATACATACACCGACCCAATTTGTCAAGAATATCGGTGATATTCGGAATGGGGTAACGATCATCGATCGTTTTCTCATTCAACTTCCGATAGTCTATAACAAGTCTCCACTTTTTCTGACCGGAGGCGTCCAACTTTTTTGAGACTATCCAGACAGGTGAAGTCCATGCGCTGCATGACGGCCTTATTATGCCTTGGTCAAGCATTTTTGAAATCTGACGCTGAACCTCCGTTCTATGGCAGAATGGATAGCGATAAGATTTCGTATGGATGAGTACGTCATCCTTCGTTGTTATTTTATGCTTGATTGCGTTGGTAAAAGTCAGCTGTTGACCTTCCACATAGAACATATTTTCATAATCCGCAATCACTTTCAACAAATTTATTTTTTTCCTTGTAGTTTAAATGATCGAGTCTTATCTGATCGAAGATACGTTTCTTTGGAACTGGCTGTGCTTCTTATGTGGTTCGTCTAGAGTAAAATAGTTGATTTCCACTTCAAGCGGGTAATTAATTATTATTTTAGTTGGTTCATTTGATGTATTCGATACAGTGACAAAAACGCGGTTGCTCGAGCAACTGTAAATTCCAGAATGTATTATTATTTGTGGTGACAACGAAAGGTCATTTTCCATGTAGAAATCTCCATCACTCGCATTTGTTGGCAGACTCACGCTTTTGGTTTCATTGGAGTTTAGTTGTACAACTGCTGTGGTGGGGTATTTTCGAAACATGCTTACCATGCCAGAAGGGAATTTAAGTATGTTCTGGGACGTAAGGATATCAGCTTTCAATGAACGTAAGGTCTCGTAGCCGATGAGACCATCAAAATACTCATGAAAGTCGAAAACGTAAAATTTTAGTTTGTTTGAACAAGGAATTTTAGAGAATGGATTGAACTCCACGAATTTTCCAACAGTGTGAACACCGTTTACGTTTCGAATTTTCATCGCCTGTGTATGACGACAATTGTTCACGTTTACGTGCTTTGAACCTATATAATTTTTGTTGGCCCCTGTGTCGATGAGAAATTTTAGGGGTCCTTTGTCAGTAAAAAAATTTATGTACGGTAAAAAATTGTTTAACTGTTCATCACTGCTTCCTCGACAAGATGAAAATTTAATTCATCAGTGTCGTTTTCTTCATGCTCGGGATTTGATGGAAGTGAGAAACCAGATGTACTGGGTATCGGTTCTTCTTTTATCTGCTCTGTTGTGGTAGTGGTACATGTGTAATGGATCGTAAGTGTCTGGTTCGTGTTCATAATGTTCCACATTTGCATGATAGTTTATCGGCTTTGGCCGGTTCATGTAATTTATTTTTCTGGACCTCAATGATGGGTCCACTTCCATAGGGGTTGGTTTTGGCATTTGAGCAGGTCTATGGTCAAATACGTTTCGTGGGGGTATAATCGGTGTATTTGTCACCTGTGTATTAAAATTTCGTGGTGGCATTCCAGGTTGTTGAGGGAATGGATAGGTGTTATATCTGGGTGTAGTCATTATTTATGGACTGAAATTTTGTGGTTGTTGTTGTATGAATGGTCGTTGGTAATGACCGAAATTTGACTCAAAATTTCGGTTTTGGTTGTTGTGTTAACAAATTTTGCTTCATTTTTGATGGAATAGGTGGTGGTCCTGGTTTAAATAAACGAGGTGCGTAATCTGCCCTTTGCAAACTGTGTCGATTTTGGAAATTTCTTTCCTCTATCGCTGAATCAAACGCTTGCTTCATATTTCTTGGGCCACGAGCACGGACGTTTCCGCCGATAGGCTCTTTTAGCCTTGCCAGAAAGACTTGTAGAGCGTTTTCTTTGTGTGTTGTCACACGATCCACTCTTAATGTTTCGTTAGTGGTTC